ACGTGTTCGATTTTTTTTTTTTCTTTTTTCTGTTAATACGACATACGACTATTAAATTAATTATAATATTATTATCATTATTATCATCATTGTATTTCAATCGTACGCATAATTCCTTTCTTTATTTTTTTCTTTAATCATCAAACGTTTAATCGATATCAAATATTTTACATTGCAAATTTTTGTTCACGTTGATCGCATGATCGAAAGGTCTTCTTTGATTTTGGATTACAAAAAACTTTGATCAATGTGATGATAAAAAAAAAAAAAAATAAAAAATAAAAAATAAAACAAGAAATCTTCCTTCAATAAAATATTCAATGCACAAATTATTATAAAATGTAATCAATTCTGTATAATATGTTTCTTTGGGAATAAAAATACAGGGTGAACGTGATAATTTCTGACTCTTCGTGTAGATGAACCGAATGTCTAACGACGATAAAGATTTCTTCTTCTTTTTCTTTCTTTCTTTCTTTCTTTCTTTCTTTCTTTCTCGATTGCTAAATTAATTTGCAGTTAAAAATAATGATATCTTATACTTATTTGTGCTGACTTTTTATCAATTTTTTCTTGTCTTTTTTTTTTTCTTTGTACACGTGATAAATAAATCGACAAAATTTATTAAATTTTTATACATTAATAATAATAATAATAGTAATAATATTAATAACGTTCAGGTATAATCTATCTTCTTCTTCTTCTTCTTCTTTTTCATCTTTTTTTTTTTTTTTTTAAATTGCCCCTTTTGATCTTTGATACAAATTGTTATTGCTCGAGTACTCGTAAATTAAAAGAAGATCATTTATTTCATTATCAAATATAATATCAATTTTCAATTTTTTTTTTTATTAAATTGTTATCGTCATTTTATTAACGCACAGTATTTTATTTTGCAATATTATTAATTCATTTTGATTCGGTTCGATTCATATTCTTATACGTATATATATGTATATATATAACAAATAAATAAAAAAAAAAACCATAAATAAGACGAAGACAGAAAGATATTTTACAAAATTATCGGTTTGACGGTGCGAAATAAATTTCAACAACAACAACAAAAGAAAGCTCATTAAGAGTTTAAACGGTTTATTCACAGCGTTCGTATCATTTTAATTCGTTCAAAATGAACGATATATATATATTTATTGAGTTTTGAGATATACGGTGACACGTAGTAACAAATATCGTAATATTTGTGAGAAAAAAAATGTTTCTTCAATAACAAAGGCAAGATTTGCGATCATTTTTTAGGAGTTTGTGGTGTACTCGTAGCTTTAAATACCAATGGATTAGATACACGAAATATGCTTGGTAACATTGTTGCTAGAGTTCCAAAAACTTCTTCCGACATTCCCTATAATAAAAAAAAAAAAAAAGAAATACAAAACAAAAAAATAACATATTTAAATAAATCAGATGAATTTGTTAACGATTAAGTTAATAAGTGTACCTTAGGTACGAGAAATTGTAAATTTTTTAATTCAGCTCCACCCCACGATGCCATTTCTATCATAAAACCTTTGACACATTTGAAAACGAGTTCGGCTCTTTTGGTACACCATGCCACTGTCATTTCCTGATGATCAATTTACAAATTTGTCGAATATAATTACAATTTTATTCTAATAACATTATGAAACTGACCTCTGTCATTTCATGAACTAGAAGAACTGGAATGGTCAATGTAGTGACGTCATTGCAACAAGCTGTTTTTAATATATTTCTCAATCCCAAAATGGCTGGGTGCCTTGAATTAATATCACCTATAATTTGTTAACTTTAAAAAGTACGTTTCCCCATTTAGTTTTTCTTGTTATTATATTAAATAATACATCACCTACCAGATCTTAACGAATCATTGACAACCATGTGAAATACGACATGGACTTGTGCTAAATTGGAATGTCTCGTAATAAAAACATCACCTGTTTGCAATGTCTTACTCATTGGTGGTGGTTTTTTTGTCTAAAATAATGAAACATTATAATCTTCTTTTTCTAATAATAATAATAATAATAATAATAATAAAAGAAGATTTGATGTGATATTTTACCTGTGGATCACTTCCTTCACGATGATGAGCTTGTCGCCATGCGACAGCTTCCTTAACATCGTCACGAATCTTTTCCAATTGTTCATCAATCGGAGGAAAATGAAATTCAGTCGTCAATTGACATATCGAACACAATTCTACAATCCCACCCATATGCATTAAAATATATATCTCATTAATTAAATTTATAATTAAGAAAGAATATATTAAACAATCCAACACCTTTCGTAATTCCAGAATAACTGCCAAGATGATTGTCGCTTAACAAAACCAATCCGCACAAATCATTTGAATACAATCCTAACGCTGTTTGTAATCTCTGCGGTGTTGGATCCCTAACGTTTTAAAGAAACATTGTTTAAGTTCAAACTAAGTGTTAACATGTATTGGTTTGGCAAGAAAGTAATTTCGGCTTGCACCAATGTTTGTTTCGTTATTTTTTTGTTAATGTTAGAATTTTGTTCTTTTGAGGTTTGATAGTTGACACTTTTAGGTTTCTATAGAAACAAATTCCGTGTAATTTTGTTAACAACTATTAGTTTAGAAACAATTCAGTTATATTTCACACTAGAAAACTGAAATTACTTTCTTGCCAACCCAATACTACAAGAACCTTAGTTCAAACAAAGGTTTAACATTTATGGTTCTTTTACCCTGAATCACTTTTTTTCGTACGACAAAAATCAAGAACATCACCGGTGAGTATTCGTATGTTATGCATTTGTTTCATTTGTGAACCTAAATGTATGGTGAAACTTTCTTCGAGCACGGGATAATCTGACGTTTGTTTTTCTTCGTTTGGTACAAACGTACCTAAACCTGGTCTCAATGGTGGCATTGGTATCATCGGAGAACCCCTTAATTTCATTTTTATCATTAATTTCTTCATGTTTTTCTTGTCTTCTTCTTTTATAGGTGATCTTAACAAATAAGAAACTTACACAGGAGTTGGTAACATATTCGTCTGTTGTTCTTCCAATAATCTCATAATCCAATTACGATACTGTCGTCTTTGTTCTAATTTTAAAGCATCAACTCTCGAACCCCAATGGCCCTGTAGTAAACTTTGTTCTTCAAAATGACGACCTGCCATATCGTTTATTGATTTTTCAGTTGATCCAGCTTCCAAAGCTTCTACAGCAACACGCATTTCTTCCGTTTGTCTGAAAGTCGACCATGCTTTTTTTTCTATTCATTCTTCATTACTGATTTGTTTGTCCTTAATGATAGTAAAACAATTGCATTCGAAATTAAACTATGCTTTATAATTATTTTATACTTAACATGATAATATCTAATGTATTCATTTAAACCTTTCGTTACGGGTGCCGTAAATATACGGCATCCACGTGACGACCTGTGTGTACGGGTGCCGTATATATTCGGCATCCGCGCGACGACATATTTGTACGAGATTTAGCTATAGAATTCGACAACGTGATACCGTTTGACCATCAACCCCCGGATATTTCTTTGTTGTTAGGCATATTGAATATCGATAGCATTTGGCTCATTTTTTAATTTGTTTTTAATTTAATTTGAACAAATGTAATATAAACATAAATCGGTTTTACAGTGAAACCTTCCGTAGCGAAACGATTAAAATTTATAATTTATCAGAAAATTTAATCTCAATATGAAACTTCTAATTACATTTTTCATATTGTCGTATATATATATATAAAAGAATAGATGGATAATCTGTTATAAATAAAACGATGGTGTGTCTATAAAAGTTTATCGGTATTGGAAAGAAAATATTTGTCTCAACTCGAACCTAATAAATCTATCAATTAGTTGAAGATAATTAATATGTTGCAATGAAGTATAGTTAAATCGATCGTTGCCTTATTTAAGTTATTGAGTTAATCTATGCAAGAAAGTCTATACAAGTCATAATTTATTTGTCCATACATTTGTCTACTAAAGATATATTGTAATCTTGACCTTTCTCTTTGCTAGTAAAGTTTTAATTGAATTATTATTGATACATATTATTTTTCTCTACTTATCATCTGTCAAAGATTGTTCGCATAAGAATACAAATATTTGTTTCTAAGTAACGTGGTAACTAACACATAGATATATATATATGTACTAACTTTTGAGTAAGTTGTTCATAATCTGTGTTTCTCATTTGAATAACTTCTGTTACATCTCTACCATATTTATGTTCAGCTTGTAAAATTGGTTCTAATGATGGCGAATGTACTAATCTATGATAAGCCGTAGCAAATAATTCTTCATCAGTTGTTCCTATTGGATCAGCATATTCAACTGTTTTTTGTTTATATATCTTTTCCCAATTTTTAATAATGTCTTCTATATTCAGATCACCATTCTTCGTAGCTTCTATAACTTTTTCAGATTTTTCATCATAATATTGTAAAGTTAATTCTTTAATAGTACGTTTTATTGTTTCCATTAAATCTGATTCCACATAACATGGTAATTTAAATGACGACATAATTCTATACGTTAATTCTTTGATTGAACCTTGATATGGAATTTTTAAAGGTATTTCTAATACATATTCTTGTTTTGTTGTACATGTTGGAAATTTGTATATAAAAATCTTGTCAACGCATTCTTCTTCGAGTAGATTCATTTTTCATGCTAAAAATACAAAAATCTTGTATTACATAAACTTAATATATATATATATATATATATAATGTGATATTTAATATGTTCATTTTAATAATTTTAGTAATTCAAAGATTACATATATACATATATCAATATAATTAAATATGATTTTTATAATAAACACATAATTATATTAAAAAATTATAAGAGGTCAATGCAGTTAGACGTTAAAACGAGTGTTACTTATTGCTTTAAGGTCAACTTTCGCAACGTTTAGGTCAAATGGTTAAAGATAATCCCCCTAGAAATATATATACGTGTTTATCAAGTATCATTTTATGATAAACACTTTTACACCTAATTTAGTCATCTATAATATCAAAATACTAATTATAAAATAAATTTTATATTCTCTATAAATAGACATTATTTTTATCAATATATAATATCCAAAATATGTTTTATCATTAAATATAAAATATTGAAACATTAATATATGTTATTTAAAAATAAATTATTATAAATGGTGTAAAGTTTTTCTAATATGATAATTTTAAATGATATCAAATATCAAATTGATAAAATTGGGTATAGTAAATTTGTTAAATTTAATACAAGTCAAATAAATTATATTCTAAATTTTATAAAATAATTATTCAAGATGAAATAAAAATATATATTTAAAAAGTATATATGAATTAAAACACTTACGCTTATTAATTATTATATAAAATAGAAATAATTTCAATATTTTCATTAATGTGTACATACACTGATACATATATGTATATATATATCTATACAATAATACTCAGATGATAGATCGTTGGAACGTCATGTTGTGATTTTTTGAGGTTAACCTAAATCTCTTTAATGAATTTTTTAATCTATTCATACTATCGTTAACAATAATTTAATTGAATATAATTTAATTTTGATCGGTTTACGTGTGCTTTCATAAATTTACCGCACATTGTTGAATAATACTTTTAAAATAATATATCGTTCGTAAGGATAACAATCACTGACTGAACTGTAAACGCCCCCCCTAATTACTAAATATCCAGTACTACCAACCTAACATTTATATTCCTATATAGATATTTTTTTTATTGCATATTATTATTATTGTAAAGAGTAAACTTACATTATTTAGTTTCTAATTTAAATTATATTTAATATTGCGTTTGTTTTTTTCATACATTTGTTATAGTTTTTCGTAAAACTATGGACGACATAACCTACAAAAAGAAATGGCATTAATTATCACTAGACTTGATATTTAAAGCGGGAAAATGATTATGTTGACAGTACTGAATCGTGTTTGGCGACAATATTAACATTTTGTATCAAAACTATTTGCTTTTCTTATTGAGATATATATTTTATTATTTGAATCATGACTGAGAATAAAAATAACGTAATAGAATTAACGGATGCCGAGGCTGAATTATATGATCGGCAAATTCGTTTATGGGGTGTAGAATCACAGAGACGGTAAGTATGATAATTCTAACCTATAAATGTTAACCGGTGTTTAAACATAATCAAAATTTTATGATAATACATTTATTTATTATTTTATGTAGTCTTAAATAATGGTAATGAATTTTGATAAATATTATAACCATAAATGTACAACATAATTTAGAATATAAGAAGTATTATTTAATATTAAAAACAAATGTGTTTTAAATGTTAGAAATAATATTTATATAATTAATAATAAGTACAATTGTTTGTTTGCAGATTAAGAACAGCAAAAGTTTTGATTATTGGAATGAATGGATTTGGTTCTGAAGTTGCCAAAAATATAATATTGGTGGGTGTTAAAACAGTGACACTATTAGATCATAGAAATATGACAGTAGAAGATACCTGTTCTCAGTTCTTTTTACCTCATAATCAAATAGGTAAAAATGTAAGTAGTTTTATAACAATTCATTTAATATACAATTAAACATTTTATTTATATATACTATTATATATATATGTATATTTACAGAGAGCAGAAGTATCTTTGCAAAGAGCACAAAATTTGAATCCTATGGTTGCAGTTGAGGCAGATACTGCAAATGTGGATGATAAACCTGATGAATTTTTCAGTAATTTCAATGTCATTTGTGCTATACAGTGTACTATTACTCAATTAAAAAGAATTAATAAGATATGCAGGGAACACAATATCAAATTCTTCGCTGGTGATGTTTGGGGTTCTTTCGGATATACTTTTGCAGATTTAATGGAACATGAATATATCGAGTTAGTTATTTATTTTATTAGAAATTATATGTTTCTATAATTTGATATTAATATAAGGAGCTTATGTTTTGTTTAGGGATGTTGTACAAACTAAGACAATACCTGTTACTGGAGATAATTCATCTAAAAATCGAGTTGAAAAAATAGTTGTTGCTGAAAAACGCAAGGATACATTTGTTTCTTTTGAAACTATCGTTGATTTAGATAAAAGTCGCGTACCTACAAAGAATGCAGTGATGTATTATGGATTGATGAGTAAGTATCTTATTTGGAGTAAGTATTAATTTGGAAATTTTCAATATTTTCATTTTATTTTATTTTACAGCAATGTTGCATTATCGTGAAAAACATAACAGGGATCCTTTACCTAGTGAAAGAAATTCCGAAAAATTCCAAGAGGAAATCAAAACGATTGCAGACAAATACGAATTGGAAGATGTAGTTAAATATCTGTCAGAGTATGTATTATTTCATGTATTTATCTCTAAAACTGATAAAATGTATAAAAACAAACTTATTTCTCATTATATTATTTGATTTTAAATTTAGGGAAAATTTGTATGCCCAAATTAGTCCAGTTTGTGCCATAATTGGCGGAGTTATGTCTCAAGAAATTATAAAAGCTGTTTCACGTAAGGAAGCTCCACATAACAACATGTTCCTTTTCAGTCCTACGACTATGTGCGGCCAAATATTAAAATTGGTTTAATCATTATCTTCGAGTCATTATTTTCAGACTTTAATATCAATTCTTTTGATACTTTCCATATCAATAAATTAAAAAGTTTACAAAACAATTAATTTTGTATGAATAAAATTTTGTCTATGCTGGAAATACAAACTTTATATTTTGTTCATTTTGTAACATACTGAATATAACACTGTAATCCTACACACATATAAAGTAATATTAAAACACGTAAAAGAAAAAATGAAAATGTGAATTTTCATGTGGAATTTTTAACAAATTCAAGCAACGTTTCAACAGTCAACTGGTTCAATTTTAAAAAAAACATCACAATTTTCATAGAAACTTTTCCACGTATTCGTATTCTCTCGCGTTATTCGGGTTATTGTATAAAATACATTTCATAAGGTAAAGTCTGGTACTATTTCTTTAGCCGATTGGACGGAAATTGCGTCATAATACGTAAAATGAGAACGGAAGAGAGTACTGAAGCCAGGATTTTGCGGGTTTCAAGCTATGACTATTTTTTTATTATCAACTAACCGATATTACTTTTTCGTTATGAACCTAAAAGTAATATTTTTATACCCATGTTCAAAATATGTATTATAATTTTTCATAAATATTTTATTATAACTTTTAAAACTCACATTTATATTTTATAGACATTGAAACGTATATATGATAATATTCTTTTTCATTGTATGCGTATTATGGTTTCATGTAAGTAAAGTTTTGTTGAAAGAATCGCGTGTTTTCTAACATCGATATTCACCCAAGACCTGAGGGATGTTAGAGGTAAAAGGGGGAGTGAAAGTTGAAGGTTGGATTCTATGGTACAACTAGCTTTACCCTGAATTATGATGTATCGTCTTTCCCCATAGACTCGATGTGTCGTTGGACGTTGCAACGATTACCGGATGTATAATAGTGGTAGTAAAATAGTAGGGGGTGTATATGCATGTGTAAATCTAATGATCCTAGTAGATGTCATGCCCTTAAATGTAGTTGTCTTTTAATACAGGTACAAATGACATTTCCCTTAACGATCCAGACACGTGCTCTTCACGGTTGTCGAATTATCTTTCATGATAGTTTATTTGGTGCTCGTCGAAAAACCATTAGTCGAGCTTCACCTAAAACCATGTTAAAGTTCTGCTGGTAACACCGTTGTTGCATCGTATTTTTGTTTAGGGGTGAGAGGGGGATGGTATTACTAATCGTAGGTGTATATATATCTATATATATGTGTACGTGTTAGGTGACTGATGTATTTTCTCGTGACTCGAAAAGCATATCGAATTGTTAGCTTCGATAATTTATAACTTTAATGTCTACTTGTTCATTCGATTAAATGAAATTTTTGTTTCTTCGTTTATTATATTTATAAATGTGTATGTGTGTATGTACAGTAGGTGGTTAAAATTATTCTATCATGATTCAACAAATATTCATAAATTTTGGTCATCTATTTTTCTAATTTTTTTAATAATTTATGGACGTATATATTATATATAATATTAATAATTAATATTATATTATTAATTATTACTACATTATTAATTTTTTTACTATTATTAATTTATTACTATAATCTTACTATTATATTACTACTATTAATTTATTTTACTCTCTAATACATTATTACATTATATATAATATTAATAATTAATATTACATTATTAATTATTACTATTATATTACTACTATGAATTCATTTTACTTTCTAATACATTATTACAATATTAATTATTATTTATAATATATTATATATAAAAAAGTTTGATATATATATATATTTTTTTTTAATGAATTTTGTAGAAAAATTTTCTGATAAAAATAATAATAAAACAAAGATGTAACATTAGAATGAATCAAAAGTACATCTAACATAATAACTTATAACAATTTAATAATAATGTTTAATATACATTTAGAAATGAAAAAATAATGCAAACATAATTCGAACGAATGATACTACGATAAAAGAAGTTAAAAACAAAATAATAATAATAATAATAATAATAATAATAATAATGCACACGAAGTGTTCCAGGAAAGTGATTATTATATGTAACGAGTTAAGTTCAGTTTCAAGACCGTTATGTAGGAAGATTTATTATTTACTCGTCGTAATCGTTACTATGCACGATATTTCTCCTCCTCATCCTCCTCATCCTCCTCCTCCTCATCCTCCTTCACCTTCTCAAACTTCTCACGTGCAAAACTCAACGCCAGGAGCAGCAGTTGTAGATGGTCAAAAAGTTAATAGTGCATTAGCCGAAGAATGTGCTCTCCTTATGTACCAACAAAAAAACAAAAAAACAAAAAAAGAAAAACAAAACAAAACTGACTGCATTCACGAGATGATACGTTTATGCGAATGGTTTTTTTGAAGCTTTACAACAGCCCGTTTAAGGACCATCTTTAACTACAGTCTTGTCGTTTTAAGGGCAACCCTTCTCATCGTAATAATATTTTTCGCATCTCTCTCTCTCTCTCTTTCTCTCTCTTTCTCTTTCTCTCTCTTACTCACTCTCTGTCAATAAATACGCCCGAAGATATTTTTTTTACGGTGGTAATAATTTCCATCGCACACCGTAAATCAAAGAACGCTATGGGATGTGTGAAGGGTTACACCCTTTATTTTTTTTCTCTCTCTCTCTCTTTTTTCTTTTTTTTTCTTTCTCACTTAGAAACCGCGAGAAAAAGGGCCGACAAGGTCGTGGATGTTAAAGGACCTTAAACTTGTGTTCTTTTTCTTTTTTTTTCTCTCGTTCAATACGCTTTTGTACAACCATAAAAATATAAACTCTTTACTCTTGTATTATGCCAAAAATTCCTTTCGTGGAATGGAGTATAATAAAATTGTTAATGTTTAAAAAAAAATAAAAATAAAAGATTATATAGTAATGTAGTTTCAATCATTCGTTCGTTCGTTCGTTCGTTTGTTCGTTCGTTCGTTCGTTCGACTTTAAACGCGATTTGTTCGATTATTTTCTTGTTTTTTTCTTTTCTTTTCTTTTCTTTTCTTACCTGGATGACGAAGTCTAACATTCCTAAAGAAGTACGCGTTTTATTGATCTACTTTATAAAAGAGTAGTACCATAGGTAAAAGCATTAGTATTATAGTTGAGATATATATATATATATATATATATATATATATATATATGTATTAACGTGTTTATGTAGATTAATAGTGTTGGAGAGTAGTCTCTTGGTAAATTCCTTTTCCTGAGTCACGGGAAGTACCAACGAGTCTTTTACATTATTTAACGTGTTTTTTTTTTCTTTTTTTTTTTTTCTAAACAGTCACGCGAAAACCTATACACACTGTTCTATGAGGTGTCGCCATTACTCTTTCTAATATTTTCAACGTGTATCTTTCAATGTTGCATTAAAAGAAAATCATTCTCGTTAAGTTCGATTCAGTACAAATGAAAATATTTTAATAATGTATTTTTTTTTCCTTTTTTTTTTTAGTAATTTTATATTATTAGTAATTAAATATTATTTATTATATTATATTATTATTATTTATATTAATATCTATATCCCTTAAAGCTTCGTAAGCTTCGTGGCAGAGCCAAATGTTTTTAAGCTTTATGCTTAAGATGCTACAGTATCTTCGATTGATAATTGTTATCTGTAGTTAAAATGTGCTCGTGCATTATTTAAGAAAGCACTGAAAAATAAAATAAAATAAAAAAATAAAAAAAACAAAATTTCAAAAATTCTATAAATAAATATTTCAAAATAATACTTGTTATAAATAATTACTAGCAGTGGTACAAATATTTGCGGAGTGCTAACGGATGTTTTTTTATTATTTATTATTTTATTATTAAACTTTTTATATATCTTCTTAAAATATATATATATATATATATTACGTGTCACGTTGTTTGTCCGTAATGGACTCCTAAACTACTGAACCGATTTTAATCAAATTTTGCACACTGTGTGCAGTTTCATCCAACTTGAAAGATAGGATAATTTATATCTCAATTTATAATTGCGAATTATTTGTTTATTAACAAAGAGTCATGATTATCTCTGTTAGTTCGATAAGATTCTAACAGATGGCGGTATAAGGCAATACGTGTATCGGACTGATTGTGAGCCACAGCAACGCATGGTGGGGCACCCCTACTTTATTATATTTTAACCACTTGCGCTATAAAGACGACGTGCCACACACGTCGAGATAATTTTGTTTCAAAACTGCGAGTGACGTGTACACCACGTCGATAGACGTGTTAAACACATGGTGTAAATATTTAGAACGACCTAATATTATTCGATACACGCATACATAATTTTATCGATTGAATATTTCTCTTTAATAAAAATCAATCATCAAGTTTAAACAAGGAATAGAAAAAATAAGAACAAATGTGAATTAAAGTAAAAAGAATCATCGCGTGCACCTAGAACGAAAAAGACAAGGAAGAAATATACAAAAAAAAAAAGATAGATAGAAAGAAAGAAAGAAAGAAAGTATGTTGTAAGTACGTGAGTCAACTGGTTACGACTAAAGGTTCGTTGATATGACTTTCCATTGGCTTAAACCGTTTATAAGCTTGGCCTTTCCCCATAGGAAACACGAATTTTCCCTTATCAGTGTCTTATTGTCGTCTCTACCTACTACTTCTACTTACTAAGTCGGTATGGTTTCTTCTTCATTATTAAGTTTCTTTCCGCCCCCTTCTCCTCCTCCTCCTCCTCCTCCTCCCTTTTCCTACCTTCAACCTTCTCACTCATTCCATCCCTTGTTCACTCAACTTCTCGTAAAAGGTAGCAAAAGGAATAATACTTATATTATTTTTCTTTTACGAAACTAACGCAAAGTTGTACATTTATTATACGATATAGGTAAGTATAAAATTCCATGAACGTAGAAACAACCAACCATAGGATTCGATGGAAGAGGAAAAATCATAAAGATGTTTCATAGCCAGTTTTCTGACCGTGGGACATAATATTTTTCGTTTGGACAAAAAGTCTCTCTTACACTCGCGATATGGTAGTGGTGGTAGTGGTGGTAGTGGTGGTGGTTCATGGGACCTACCGAGTGCATTAACAAAATAACGTAATAAAATCTGAGTGCCTTCCAACGCTTATTTCCTAACCTCCTCTCT